CGTTTTTTAGCCGCAACTGATATTTTCTAAATTCATCTCCTTATGTAAGCTACAAGTTCACAAAGTTTCATTAAAATCAGAATTTAACACCTCGAGAGGTTCCCTTGTGAGTTAATGATGTTTATACACAAAAAAATTTAATACAATTTAATAATACTTGTTTCTCTAATATTTAATAATATGTTTTCGAAGTCTAAAAATTTTGCAACAAATTTAACACACATATTTTTACTTAGAAACAAACTGTTACTGAAAATAATTAAATATTAAAATTAATTAATTACAAAAGATTTCGAGACCAAAGTATAAGACTAAAGTATGAATGTATATTGCATAGATATAATACCTATAAACCTATTTATAGTTGCACATTCCTATAAAGTCTCTTAAAAAGAGTAAAGTAGCCATAGATTCCATAACTATAATAAGTCTACTCATATTCTGTTTCTTTATTGTTAAGCAGTGGCCCTAGTGCGGTTGTTATCTTTATGTCCACACTCATACAGGGTGTTTGATAAGTAAGGATAAATCTTTCGCACAAGGGCAGAATAGGCTAAACTAAGAAGAAAAGTCCTCTATCATTTTACAATTTTCGCAATAGTTAACAAGATATTAATTACTAAAAATTGTCGAAAATTGGTCTTCAATAATTTTTTACTCAAATACTACCAACTTTACAGAAAAACTGCAAGAAACAAAAATTGTTTATTTTCTTCTTATAGAGCTCTAAGAATTTTTTCAGAATTTTTTAATACCGTATTTTCTCATGTTAGTAAAAATAAAAAAATACAGTACTAAAAAGTTAATAAAAAATTCTGAAAAAATTCTTAGAGCTCTATAAGAAGAAAATAAACAATTTTTGTTTCTTGCAGTTTTTCTGTAAAGTTGGTAGTATTTGAGTAAAAAATTATTGAAGACCAATTTTCGACAATTTTTAGTAATTAATATCTTGTTAACTATTGCGAAAATTGTAAAATGGTAGAGGACTTTTCTTCTCAGTTTAATCCATTCTGCTCCGAAAGATTTATCGTTACTTATCAAACACCCTGTATATAAATCATTGCGTTGTTACCAGTATCACTTGTACTTAGATTAGAGATAGTACACAAACATAACATGTTTGGGTGATCATAAACAAGGATTTCTTGTGGTATAACTTTTATCTCTTTCTGATAATCGAATTGAGTAGTCCATATATAAAAGTCTATGAAAGTAGCTTGATTCTTTTCTTTCTTTCTCTCTCTAAAGTATCAAATTGAAAAGAGATACGATTCAATTTTTGCTGTCTCTTTCTAATATGGAGTTCATATACTAAGATCAGAAAATACACAATCTACACCTATTACGTACATGCGTTAGTACAATTATCTTTTTATGAATTTTTAATGATGTCTAATTGAACTTTATTATAAGTTTGTAAACATTTTTTTTTAATTAATTAATAATTAAAATATTAAATACTCTTAAAACTAAAAGCATAATTTCAAAATTTGTTATGTAAACTAGTTATGTAAGTCTGGATCATACACATCTTATCATTATTTAATATTAAAAAAACACTGCAAATTGCAAGAGTGTACTAGTCGTTATCATAATTTAATCTAATGACATAAATAAGATATAAATTATTTAACATAAACGTAAAGCATATTCATAAATATTCTTTAAATCAGAAACGTATAAGAACATACTAAATAGAATTCCGCAGAACATAAAGTTATAAAATATTACGAATGTAAACAAAACTTTATGCATGCATTAATAAAAGATTTTGAAAATGGATACAATCTCAAATAATCACCTCAGTGTAAGAAAAAATTTATATATAATTAAGTGCAAATATGTACAGGATGTCCCATTTTAACATTCATATCGAGAAATATCTCAAAAAATATAAAAAATATGACAAAAGTTATATGATCTGAAGGGAGACAAATAATGATAAAATTAATTTTGGAAAAAATTGATTTTTCAAGTTAATGTGAAGGTCACAGTCATTTTTTAAAATATAGAATAGTATGACTCTTTTACATAATATATAATTTTTTTTAACTATTCTGCATATAAAAGTATTAAGATAAAGACAATAATATTTTTGAGATTGCAATGGATATTTTCTTCAAATAATCTTTGTAGATTATCTTCATCTTGATATCAGTTCAAAAATTTGGTGCACAAGAATCTCAGTTAGTTGTTATATTTTACTGGGAAACGACTATTTAACGCCGAGTGTCGCATACGCTAAAAGATTCGAAACTGTTTTTCTTTGCACGCAGAAAAGGACCGGAAGTGTCGTAAGAAACGACTTAAAAATATGATTTTTGTA